AATTATCAGGAGACTGGGAGTTCTAGTCTGGCCTTAGGTATAAAAGCCAGCTAGATCACTTTAGGCACCCCTGGATTTTTTCTACATACCCTGTTTCCCCGAAAATACAACCACCCTGAAAGTAAGTCGTAGCTTGATTTTTACATGTGCACCCAAGCCCCACTCCCAAAATAAGCCCTAATTAAGATCCTGCCCACTCAAGTGCACAGGTAAAAATTAAGCTAGGATAGGGGAGTGGAGCTGCCCTACTACTTACCTTTGGACAGTTTTAGCCAAGGCCACGCACACCCCAACACCTGCCTTGCCATCCCATTTCTTCTGCAGCCGTCGAGGCTGGCAAGGCTTTCCTGAAGGCCTCTGTAGCTGATAACAAAGCTCCGGATTGATCCGGATCTCTATTATCGGCTGCAGAGGCCTTCAAGAAAGCCTTGCCAGCCGCAGAAGTAGTTCCTGAAGGCCTCTAACAGCGAAAAGGAGGCCGGGGATGATGAACACAAGTGAGATAAGTCAGTGGATGGCATCCCCCGAAAATAAGACCTGGTGCCTTTTTCGGTGGCAAAAACATATAAGACAGTGTCTTATTTTGCGGAAAATTCAGTATAAGCCAAGATACGGAGTCTGCTGCAACTGCAACTCACAACCAGAGGGTCAAGGGCCTTTTGCCATTTTGCCAACAGGCCAGGAGGGTGGAGGAGGAAATATCGTCAAGCTGGCTCAGGACTCATTCTTGAAGCCTTGACTTAATGAACAATGGTCAAGCTCAAGAACAAGGTAAACGAAGCGCTGAGTGGAAAAGGTACCTTCGCAGTAATGGCTTGTCGTCTTCAGTGAAGAAGGTAATTGCCTTTCCTGTGTGCCCTGCCCTCCCTGTGCGACCTGTTGCAAGAGAGAACAGTATTCAGCCGAGGTAACAATAATGGGGGAGCCCCTGAAGACAGAAGCAGGGAGGTTGCAAAGACGTTTCTAAACGTGAGATCTCCCTAATTCAGAATGTTAATACAAAATGGAGACCCTTGTCTGCTACT